AAAGTAGACTTTTTAAAGCAAAGAATGGAGACTGCAATACTGCATTTAAAAATAGTCATGAGGGTTGGCCAGATAGCTCAACAGACTAAAGCACCTGCTTAGGCAGATGCAGGGACCGGAGTTCCATCCCCAGCATGCCATGCCAGCCCTGAGCCTGGGGTAGGCCGAGAAGATGATTGAGACTGGGCATGGTGGTGCACGCCTATAATCCCAGTGCTTGGGAGGCTGAAAACAGGAGAATCACTGCAAGTCCAATCTGTATAATGAAACCCTGCAGACCCTGTAATAAATACAGAAAAAAAAAAAGATAGAAAAATAAAATAAAAATAATAATGAAGGGTCAGTTAGATAGCTCAGCAGACTAAGTGCCTGCTTAGGCAAGCTCAGGGACCGGGGTTTGACCCCAGCACCCCATGCCACACAGAAATCAAAAGTTAAAAGTAAATGTCCATTGTTGTGGAGAGTTCCAAGGAAGGTTTTAGCTGTAACACATACAGTGCAGGTTGTGGAACAGCACACACCAGTGTGACCCAGGGTGCCTCTGGTTAGCAAGGGCATCAGAAGGTCATGCTCTGAAGAGTAGTTGTATGTTGTTTGATCACTGTTTTGTTTTTTGATTTATTTTCGGAGGTGTTGGGGATAGAACCCAGGGCCTTGTGCATGCTAGGCAAAGCTACAACTGAGCTGTACCATTGGCCCTTGCCTATGCAGTTGAAGTTTTCTAAGACAGAGTATAGAAGTAACTAGTACACATACTCCTTCAGGTGAGGACACAGCCCAGCCACCTCCCTCTGGGCTAGCAGCCCTGGGACTTCTCACTTGGGCTGGGGGTTTCTTGCTTTTCAGGCAGCCTGCGTTAATGGGATCCTCTACATCCTGAGAGTGCCACAGCTGCAGGTAGTCTCCACAGTGACTGTGTTTTCTAACACCTTTGCAAGTCTCCTCTGCTCTCCTGACCAGCAGTGGGTGTTTGCGTCTGCACAGGACTCAGATGTGTGCCCAAAGGTTAGTGTCTGGGGTCCCTTTCCCTTGGGTTTGTGAGAGGAAGATGCAGGATCTGGAACCCTGAGGCTGTGGGATGTGTGTTCTAGAGCTTGTGCATGCCGAGGACCAAGACCTGTGGCAGGGCAGGAGCAGCCCCTGGTTACTCACTGAGAGACCCTTTCTGGTTCCTATTGAGGAGGTGCAGAGGTTGTTTATGAAGAGCTCTGGGGTCTTAGGAATATGGTGGTGGGAACATTCAAGAGCCAGTTGGTAGTATGAAGACCAAGTTTTGATGAGAGCGAGAGGGGCAAGAGAGGAGAAACTAGGAAAGGCATCTGGCGCCTGGAGAAGGAAGCCTTAGAGCTTGGCTGAGTCTCTTGCATCACACTTGTGATGTGAGCAGCACCTTATCCCCATCTTCTTGATGCCCTGTGAGTCACAAAGAATCCTGATGAATCACAGGCACAGGGATGAAGCGAAGCATTTGGGTGCCAGAGCCTCAACAGATAAATTGGAGCATGCAGACACCTAAGACTGCTCTTATGGAGAAAAAAGGGAAGATCAGGAACAAGAGCTGCCATAGAGCAGTAAGGACCAGGAGCCTGACCATCTAGGAGCCAGTGAGGCAAGTGGTCGGTCAGAAGAGAGGCAGGTGCCGAAAGGCCATGGAGCTGGAGCAGTAGCTCAGTGGCACAAGAGCCTGCCTGGCAAGTGCAAGGTCCTGAGTTCAGTTCCTGGTACAAAAAAGAGCAAGGCCATAGGAGGGGCTTCCAGGACCCCTGAAGAAGAAGAAGAAGTGACCAGGGGTCGTGGAGGGAGTGGGGCAGGAGATGGGAAAGAACTATGCAGGAAGGTACTTGACTCATTGGTGACTGCACTGTAGCTGTTCTAGTCAAATGCCTGTCACATGGTTCATGCCTCACAGCAGTCTCACTAGGGTGCTTCCAGGGCATTAGGTGCAAGCTGAGCGTAATTAAGCTTGAAAAGCTCCTGGTCTGGACAGGAGACTGGGCCATGGCACAGGCTGCCTGGCTAGGCCAGTGTGGCTGTGTGGGTCTGCAGCAAAGCAGGTGGCCTGGTAGGTACAGGAATCAGGTGTAGTTTGGGGCTTTCTCTGTGCTCAGAGTAGAGAAGCCCCCCTCACCTTCACTGTGACCGTGCAGGGTTGTTTCCCCAGGTGTTCTACACTCAGTCCTTGTTATGCCCATCAGAAGATGAGCCTCCTGTTTCCACTACCCTCCCTCTTTGGATGTGTTCTCAAGCCTGCTGGGCTCCTGATGAAGCGGCAAGGCTGATTGTGGTGCACAAAAATGAAGATGAAGATGACATGCAGCTGGTTGTTACTACCTTTGAATTAAGGAGCAAGAAGTCATCCAGGGACAGAGTGGACATTCTGGGTAAGGATCCCTGTTCTGGGCATGGTCTGTGTGTTGCTATTACAGTATGACGCTTCCAGGCCAAATTCCTCACGGTTCTTTTGGGTTACTTTTCTTCCCTCCCAGCGAAACAGTGATATGGTGGCCCAGCCAAAGTTCCAAGCTTCTGGACTGTAGGGTGATGGATCACTGCGGGGCCCCTCTGTAGACCTGAGACTCAAACATTCCACTCACGTCCAGAAGCTCCCTCCAAAGTGATCTTCCTGCTTCATTCAGTCTTCTTTCCCCAGCTGTTTCAAAGGCCCTGCTGTTAACACTAAGCTCAAAAAAGATGAATAAAAGCCAGAATTCTCTTCCCCATGGCACTCCTAGTTCAATAAGAAAATAAGACTCACAGTCTCCTCTATTTCCTAAACCCTCACTGTCTCCTGTATTTCCTAAACCCTACATCACACCTGTGGTCCTTGACATTTTCTTCTTTATACCATATTCTTTTTTTATCATTTGGTTCTATATTTTACCAACCTTCTTGGGCCTGAGGAAAAAAGAATTAAATGCATAATATACCCCTTGTCAGATAATGAGAAGGCTTATGGTCTCTTCATAAGAGTTAGTAAATCAGAATGCTGTATAGTATAACAAATAGCTTGGGGGGCTTGTGGGTTAGCTCAGTTGTTTAAAGCTCCTGCTTGGGCAAACTCAGGTGCAGGGGACTGCAGTTTGATCCCCAGCTCCCCAAGCCACACCAGACCCGCCCTTAAGGCAGCCTGTGCCAGCCAAAAAAAATCCTTCTACAAAAGATAGCTTGAGGGGCCGGGGAGATGGCTCAGTAGAATAAGCACTTGCCTGGCAAACACAAGGGCCTGAGTTCAATCCCCGGTTCCACACACACACACACACAAATAATAAATAAAATAAAAAATAAAAAAAGATAGCTTGTTTAACAGTAGGTTTTGGCCAAAGTAATATATGTCATATAGTTGACTTGTCATTTCTTCTGTCACCCTCTTAGATGGGAGAGGAAAGAAAGGAACTGCCATTTCCTGAATGGTTCTGTGTGCCAGACACTATGCTGGTCACTTCACAGATGCAGTGCACTGAATCGTCACAGCCCCAGGAGTGTGGCGGCATGACCCATATTTTGTTGCTGATGAGCTGGAGATTTAGGGAAATGAACCCATGCGTGAAAGCTGAGCACAGGTCCAAGCACAAAGCCATTCCTTTCAGTATACTGACCCGTCTTAGGCTAGGCATAGATCTGCTCCAGAGAAGCCCATCTGTGTTTTATTTCCCAAAGTACAACAGGTGGCCAGTTTCCTGCCGGACACCTTGATGTCGCCTCACCTCATGCAAGGCTATGGCTCTCAGGTGATCCTGCTGACTTCTGGATTGGAGCTGATGCTGTTCACCATACACGGCCTGCAGTTGGTAGCCTTCCAGGACCACCAGAAGCCCATCACGTCCATGCGGGTGGTGAGTGCAACGCCCCCCGCCCATGGCATACTCTCCACCTGCTGGAGTCCACATCCACACCTCACTTGACTTCATTTCAAGGACCTCGACCGAGTCATCACCTCCTCCATGGACCTCTCCTTGCGGGTCTACGTGTGGAATAAGAAAAATAAATTCCCAGTCCTCAAGAGCTGCTATCACTTGCTTGGGGGATCCCACAAATGGGCCAGGTAATTGGCTGCTTTCCTTTCCTTTGCCTGTAAAATGGTCTTAGATGGCCTAAAAGCAGTGTTTGGTTCGGTTTTGGGTTTTTGAGATAGGGCCTTGCTATGTAACTGCCTTTCAAGTTGGTATATAGCCCAGACTGACCTCAGAGTCATGGTGATCCTCTTAGCACAGCCTGCCTCATTTTCCTGAGTAGCTGTATCTGCAGGAGTACCCCAAAATGGCTTTTGAGAAAGAAATGTTGGAAAGGGTGTAAGACTTAGGCTGTAAACTCAGCTTCTCCGTTACCAACTAGGGCTGAGGGCCATCTGCTGTGTAAAGATTTCCTTTTATGTGGAAAAAAATAATCTCATTGTTAGATGAGCGGGGTGGTGCACTTCTATAATCCCAGCACTCAGGTGGCTGAGGCAGAAGGATCTTAGCGAATCTGAGGGCAGCCTGAGCTGTGTAGCAAGTGTAAGCCCATCCTGAAATACAGAGCAAGACCCCTCTCCCCTCAAAAAACAAAACAGCTACATTGTTTACTATGGTTTGCATTTTATACATGATTTCCTGTGGTGTACAAAACCACTAATGGACCTGTTTTATACATGAAACAGATTGACAGATGTGAATGTTTGGCCAAAGTCCCACATAGGATGCTTTAACTTTGTAGAAATAAGTGCCTACCTGGTAAGCGCAGAGTCCTGAGTTCAATCCTCAGTACCGCAATAAATAAATAAATAAATAAATAAATAAAAATAAATAACTTTGTAGAAAGTTACTGCACCCAAGAGCTTTTGAGGTTATATCTCTTTCATTCAAGAGAGCAGTGAGACTGACTAGGAGTTGATAGGCTACTTCTAAATTCTGGGGAAATTACTGAGACTTGGCTATGTTAAAATTAGAAGCTCTTCTTTGTTTTTTGATTTTTGTATATTGTACAGGGCCTCACCACACAGATCAGACTCCTGTTTTCAGCCTCCCAGGAGCTGGGATTACAGGTTTATGCCACCACACCTGGTCTCAATTGCTATCTCAGCATGCCCCAGGGGCAGGAGCAGCACAGCACATCAGGATTGAATCCCAGTCGCTGGGCTCTGCCTAAGCAGGCGCTTTAGTCCACTGAGATATCTGGCCGGCCCTGTTTTGTTCTTTTTTTAATTTTGCACACAGGGAACGATTTATTCCCTTTGAAGAAATGAACAATTGAACAAATTTCCTTTTGCAATAAATGGGTAGTTGAGTTTCAGTAATCTAAATAGTTTTCTGTTCAGTTTAAAAATGCTATGTAGGGTGGATGTGGTGGTGCACACCCATAATCCCAGCACTCAGGAGGCTGAGGCAGGAGAATAGTTGGGAGTTCAAGACTGCCTGGGCTACAAAGTGACCTCAAAGATACCCTAAACTGCATTGCAAGACCCTGTCTCAAAAAGACATAGGTAAACATGCTGTACAGTAAAGTTAAAAGAAAATCCTCCAAAAATAATAATTTGCAATTAGTAAATTCGTAATGCAGTTAGTAAGTTAGAAGCTCTTCTATCAGAAATTTTTTAGAGTAACTGAAATCATGATTCAGGCAGCTACTGTCAGGAGAAGCCCCGATATAATATTCCCACTTCATAACTTGGGGTGTCACGGTGGCTTACATATATCCATGTATCATACTTTTCTAATGTAAATTTTTTTATTAGCATTATAGTAGCCAGCTGTGCCTCTGGGGAGTAAGAAGCTATCTGTGATTAGCCCCTTGGTAGCTGGAATGCCAAGGTGTGGGCACATGTTTGAAAGTATCAAACTCTTACCCATGTAATGCTCCATGTGACATTTCTTACATATGTTTCCATGGGAATCATGGGTGAGGGGTAAAATACACCCACACCGTTCTTCTGTTGTGTGAACATATCCTTTACCATATTGGGACAATTTGGGTGTAGCTCACAGTCACTAGTCCTGGGGAGACCAGGAACCCATCTGTGCATTCACCCACGTGGCAAGGGAACTGCAAGATATATGCAGGAGCTGCAGAGCTACAACAGGTGAGTTTTACTCAGGAAATCCTTTTTTTTTTTTTTGTATTTTTTTTAGGGAAGGGTCTACAGGGTGCTCAGGGTCTCACTACTAGATCGGACTTGTCGTGATCTGCCTATTTACAACCTCCCAAGAGCTGAGATTACATGCCCAGTCTCAATTGCCATCTCAGCGCACCCCAGGGACTGCACAGCAGGCCTGTGGATTGAACTCCCGGCCCCTGTGCCTGTTTGCAGGCGCTTTAATCCGCGGAGCTATTTGGTTGGCCTTTGGGATTTGTTTTAAAAAAGAGCTTTCTAAGATTAAAAGAGACACTAATCTGTTGGGAGATAGAATAGATAAAACTCTTTAAGACATTGGTTTAGGCAAACTATGAACAAAACCCACATTGCAAAGAAGTAACAACTAAGGGCCAGGCATGCTAGCGCATACCTGTAATCCCAGCACTTGGGAGGCTGAGGCAAGAGGATCCTTGTGAGTTTAAGACCAGCCTAGTAAGGAAGCTCAAGGTAGCCTAAACTGCATAGCAAAACCGTGTCTCAAAAAAGAAAAAAAAAAAAATAATAACTGAGATCTATATATAAATAAAAGCTTTTATACAGCAAAAGAAATCACCAACAGAGTGTGAAAAAAACTACACCAGCTGTTCCTCAGACAAAAGATCTAGAATAAAGAATTTAAAAAAATCAGACCCCCCAAATTTAAAGACCCATCCTAAAAATGGGCATCTGAAATAGACATTTCTCAGATAAAGGAGTAGAAATGGCACATGAATATACAAAAAATTTGAAAGATTCAAATTAAAACTATGCTTAGATTCCATCTCACTCTAGAAAGAATGATAGTTACCAAGACATCAAGCAATAGGGCCAGGGATATAACTCAGTGGCACAAGTGCCTGCATGGCAAATGCAAGGTCCTGAGTTTAATTAGAAATAGTCAAAAACAAACAAAAGAAATAAACTAATAACAAATGCTGGCAGGACTTTTGGGGAAGAGTCCTTCTCCACTGTTGGTGGGACTGTAGACTGGTATAATCAATGTGGAATTTCCTTAAAGAACTAGAAGTTCCATTTAATCCAGTTATTCCTCATCTTGGTATGTTCCTGATAGAATTAAAAGCATTGGGGCTGGAGAGATGGTTCAGTAGAATAAGCGCTTGCCTGGCAAGCGCAAGGGCCCGAGTTCAATCCCCAGTTACACACACACACACACACACACACACACACACACACACACGAAAAGCGTCGTACCACAGCAATGTATGCTCACCCATATTGATAGCAGCACAGTTTGTAATAGCTAAATCTTGGAAACAGCCCAAATGCCTGCTGCTGATCAGTGGATAAAGAAGATGTGGGGGTTTTTAGACAGTGGAGTACTACTCTGCCATAAAGAAGGATAACCTTGAGAAATTTCTAGCTAGATGGAAGTACCTTGAGAACATACACTTAATGTGAAATAAATCAGAGACATACGTGAATACTGCATAGTTTCTTTGGTGTGAGATATTGAAAGTACAGGTAAGGATCAAAATGTGTACTAGGTATTGGGAAATGGGAAAAAGATGTTCAAATGAGGGCAACAAGGGTGTGGGAGTAGGGAAGGAAAGAAGGGAAGGGACAAGAAAAAAGAAAAACATAGAAACAAAGCTTTTTGTAAACTGAAGTATATAGCAAGACCCTGTCTCAAAAAAAAAAAAAAATAGATATAGATAGAGATATATCTATGTACATTCCCTATGATGAATGTAATCATTGTGTCTATCTAAAATGTACCAATAAAGAGTAAAGTTTTCTTTTGATGTTTCTGGTAGAAGTAGCCCAACATTACAATGGCACATGAAAAACCAGGTTTACAAGTTTTGGAAGAGGTCAGAAGTTAGTCATCAGGTGACTTGTGCATGGATGATGGTGATGACATGATTGGTGACTTTGACACTGGCTCTGTGACAGTGAAATGGAGCAAGAATCAACCAATACAGACACAGGGAATGAAAAACCTTAACTCAGTTGATAAAACAGCAGTGTGAGTACATATTTGGCCAGTCACAATGGTACAGAATGGTCACACAGGGCTGGCCAGATAGCCCAGCAGACTAAAGCACCTGCTTAGATAGAGCGTAGTGGCTGGGGTTTGATCCCGGCCTGCTGTGGATTTAAAGACCCATTCTAAAGACCCCTGGGGTACGCCGAGACAGGGATTGAGACTGGGCATGTTGGTACACGTCTATAATCCCAGTGCTTGGGAGGCTGAAAACAGGAGGATCACTGTGAGTCCAAACTATGTAGTCAGACACTGTAGACCCTGTCCTAAATACATAAAAAAAAAAAAAAAAGCGTAGCGGAGCCCAGACACCGGGCCTTAGCTGGCCCCAGCTCCACCACCCCAGCCATGGGCCAGACCGCGGTGTTGACAGCCTGGACAGAGCTTCCATAGCGAACTCAGATGGCGCCCCAGCAGGTTCCCCGACACTGACCTTCAAGAAGAGGAACTGTCCACCTTCAGGAAAACCTTCAAGCCTTGGAAATGGAGGAAAAAGAAGACCAGTACAAATTTAGAGAAACCTCAGCAGTATTAGAGAGGAAGATATCCACCAGACAAAGAGAGGAGCTGATAAGAAGGCGTGTAATTAAGGAATTGCCTGATCAAGATTACTCTTTCACCAGACAGTTCCTGGATAACAGTAAAACATGGAAATACTGATATCAGCAAAATCTAAACCCTAGAACAGAGAGACTCAAACTAATCAAAATAGGAATTTCAACAGTGGATTTACCAGTTTCAGATTGATGTATATTTGCTAACAGCACAAGTTGACCAGCATTAGAACTGTATGCAAGAACATAGCAGGAGGGCCGGCCAGATTGCTCAGTGGACTACAGTGCCTGCTTAAGCAGAATGCAGTGGCCGGGGTTCGATCCCCAGTGTGCCATGCTGGTCCCACCCATGGGCATGCTGAGACAGTGATTGAGACTGGGCATGGTGGCACATGCCTGTAATCCCAGTGCTTGGGAGGCTGAAAACAGGAGAATCACTACGAGTCTGATTTATGTAGTGAGACCCTATAGACCAAAAAATATACAAAAAAAAAAAAAAAACCAAACCAGAAATTCTAACGAAATGTTGCAATTTTAAGACAGAATTGTGTAAGCACAGTCTTTGGATTTCAGAAAGATACAACATTGTCCTTTTTTATGACAAAATCAAACTGGTACTGCTGGTGTCAACTTTGTACCATGATGGAAAAATCAACAGAGAAACTTTGACAAAACTGAAGCCTGAGATAGAGCTTTTTAAAACAAATGATAGGTGGAATAGATATTATTGATGAGTTATGCAGTGAATGTGATGTCATTTGAAACACAGAACACTGCCAGAGATGTAGCTCAAGTGGCACAAGCACCTGCCTGGCAAGCACAAGATCATGAATTGTATCTCCAGAACCACAGAAAAGGAAATGTAAATAAAAAACATTGGCCAATGGTGGTGTTCTACTGAATCCTGAACATGTGTGGCATAAATAGTTTAATAGTTTACAAAGAAAATGCCAGGAGCACAATACCACACACACATTTTCTTAGAGAATTGGGACTGGAATTCATAAGAAGTCATTCACAACAGAGGAAGAACAAAGTGTTTCTGCCCAGGGAATTATGCAGAAACTTGTGGACCACATTGGTGAGCTGACAGGTGAAGAGGCAGTTGTAGCATTGCACAGACTTAAGAGGAAAACAGAAAGATGTCAGTGGGGCCCTACAGAGCAGGACAGGACTACATGCGCTATCAATGCGATGTCTGTATATGGCACATGCAGTTTTCATGTGTGAAGACTGCCTTGGATGTGATAGTTGAACTAAAGATGATGTCTATGATAGGCTTGTTTGTATTTACATTACAGTTCATGTAGGTTTTTATTTCTGCTGTTATCTTTTAAGTTTTGTAAGCAAATAAACAGCTGATGTGAAAATGTTTATGTCGTAAGTACTCATTATGTATTCGGCATTTTATTTTATTGAGATCTTATTTTCTTGCTAAATGCACATAGTACAGTATTGTAAGAAGCTCCTAAAAAAAAAAGAAAAAGAAAAAAAGCTCCTGACAAAAGAGGAAGAAAAGGGAGGTGACAAGAATGACCTGCCACGCAGGAAAGGAGACCTAAGCACGTGTGCTGTCAGTGTGAGCAAGTCATGTGCATGGAACGTGCAGGTGTCGTGTGTGAAGACTGGCTTGGGTGTGACAGTAGAAGCAGAAAAGGTATGGAGGGCTGAGCTCCATCTTCATGTGAAAGCTGTATTCCCTTTTCCAGGTGCCCTGCTAAGGGTCTTCATGTAAGAGTTTTACTACTGAAATGTTTATCCTTTTTTCAGATTACCACCTCACATGTTTCTTTTTCCTCTACAGTGGATTTACCCACGTGGAAAGTGACAGCACAAACATCGTCGGTGTGGAAGCCAGAAGCAATGGAACAAGCATTCTGAGATCATATTGCTTTAGAATTCAGCGTGGCTAGCAGATGACCCTAGCTGGAGATACTCTTACTTTGGTAGAGCTTGTGTACATACAAAGACTACATTAACTGTGATTGTATAATTCTCAGAGGGCTACTCTGTACCATGCACACTATACTCTGTGACTGCAGAAACCCTCATAACAAGTCATTGAAGTAGATACTGTTATCTGTTCTTAAAACGAGGAAAATAAAATTTAAAAGAGTAAATTAGTCATCATTAGCCTGCCTTTTTTTTCCCCCCGGAACCGGGGATTGAACTCAGGCCCTTGCGCTTGCCAGGGAAGTGCTTATTCCACTGAGCCATCTCCCCAGCTAGCCTACTTTTCAACTGCTAAGCAAAGTACCCAAGGTTTTTCAGATCATAGGTGGCAGACAAGTTGAATATAAGTCTAGGGAACTCAAGAAAGCCCATGCTTAAGGTATTAAAATTTTAGCAATTTTTTAAAAAATGTATTTTGTACAGGGTCTTGCTACACAGCTTGGACTCATAGTGATCCTCCTGTTTTCAGCCTCCCCAGTGTTGTGACTGCAGGCATGTGCCACCACACCTGGTTTCAGTGGTTGGCTCAGTGCACCCAGGGCAGGGCCAGCACGGCAGGTGCTTAGTCCACTGAGCTATCACACCAACCCTATAAGTTATTTTTAATGGGGCCTATATAAGCATCTCCCCAAAGCCTCATTTACTCATACCTAGGGCCTTTAAAAAAAGGTGATGAATCATGGGGATGCTGTACTACCTGTGATGTGAGGAGGGTGCCTGGTCAGAAGTCACTGGGAGCACCATGTGGCAGGGGTGTCTGCCTGCCTGGTTCCTTCCTTTGCCCTCTGCTTCTGGGTGCCGTGAAGTGAGTATCTTTTCCTCTGTTGTCCCACTTTGCCATTTCTGTCTGCCCAGGAGCCAACTGACCATGGACTGTAAAATGAGCCAAAATAAACCTTTCCTTTTTTTAAGTTGCATGCTTCAGACATTTTGTCTCAGTGGAAGGTAATTAAGACATTTTTGTTCTTCAAATATGCAGTTAAGTAAAGACCTTTTTTCTTATTCTGTTATGTGCTCTAGAAGTGTATTACTTAATTCTTGCTGTCACTTTATGGAATTTTGTATTGCCATGTTGCATAACTCTGTAGCTGCCATCTTTTCTTTTGTATTCTTGGTGCTTCCTGTAATACGTCACTATGAAAGACCTGTCTGGGTCAGGGCATGTATCAGAGTTCTTAATTGTGAGCAATAAACATTGACTAAAACTAACAAGGGGGTTTACTGGAATGAAAGATTGGCCTTTCTGGGGCCAGGGAGATGGCTCAGTAAATTAAGCACTTCCCTGGCAAGCACAAGGGCCTAAGTTCAATCCCCAGTTCCGCCAAAAAAAAAAAAAAGATTTGCCTTACTTCTTCTGGATTTGGCAAGAAGTAACAAGTCACAATGAAGTATATAATATGTTGTAAAAAAGTGTGTTATGTGTCATTTATTTCAGTAAAATCAGTAGTTTGATAGTGACAACCTCCTCCAATAGAATTGGTAGGTAAGCATTTGTCTATATACCACTGGATGGTACTTGTATTGGTCAGGGTTTTACTTAGAGGAACAGATATAATATAAGGAACAGATATTAACACAAGGTATACAATGTATAAGGAATGACAAGATTGGCTTAGGACAGTCAACCACAGAGTTAGATGGGGGAGTGTGCAGAGGGAGTCTGCACACCCCAGACCGAGGAGTTCAGTCCCAAGGTCTGAAGCTCACTGCTGTGCTCCATACAAGTCTATTCGTCAGCTCATGGGTCTGACACGGAAGACTGAAGAGTCTGCGAAGGAAGATGAAGAATCCAACTTGGCCCCTTTCTATGGTCTCTTTGTGCTGAGTCACTCTGGGGGCAGAACCAATTGTGTCCCAGGGCGGGACCCCCCACCAGCCGGAAGTGCGGAAGTGCGAGGCCCAGTCATCTGGTCAAGTTGACACAATGTATCAACCACTACAGTAGGGTTTTAGGATTTTTGGTACTGGGGATTGAACTCAGGACCTTGTACTTGCCAAGCAGGTCCTTATGCCTCTGAGCTATCTCCCCAGCATGATGATACTGTTTTATGACACAAAGAATTGTAGGATGATTTATGATTAAAAATTAAAAAGTCTTGGAAGTAGTTCCAGCCACTGAGGAGGCTAAGGCAGGAGCATGGCTTTTTGAACCCATGAGTTCAAGACCAGCCTGGCAGTATAGTGATGTCAGACCATACTGTGGCAAGTAACTTTATATCATTAGATTCTTTATTGTTTTAACTTTTCTTAGTTTAGGTGTCTTCATGAATGATTCTGACAAGACTGCTGGTAAGACTTATCTGATGTGGAATGCTTCTGGCAGTACTAAGATCGAACCCATAGGTGCTGTACCACTTGGCTACACCCCCAGTTCTATTCATTTATTCATTCATTTATATTCAGGCAGAATTCCACTAACCTGTTCAGGCTAGCCTCAAACTTACAGTCCTCTTGTTTTAGCCTCCTTAGTAGCTGAGATTACAGATTTGCCCAACTGAGCCCAGCTAATAATGATAAATCTTTATTGAGAACTTTAGGGCTTCTTCTGCACAGGTGTGTGGCATGATGATTTCATTAAATCATTAGGGCAGCTTTCTTGAGATGATGTTATGGTGTGTGTATAGGTGTGCCCCATCCCCAGCCTCATGCAGTCATGGGGCAGCTTCTGGAGTTTGTGATTGATTATTGTGGGTGTGGGTGCTGCACCTGCCCTGGGGCAGGTAATTTACAATACAGTGTAAGGAGGAGAGAGAGGCTAGCTAGCTGCCTGAGCTGCTGCCACTCCCTTCGCTCTCCGTTCTTAGCCACCACCTTTCTGCCATATGCTGCTGCTCTGCGTCGAAGCCAGCTGAGTATGGACTGAAACCTCCATTAACTGTGAGCTAAATAAACTTTTCCTTCCTTCATTTTGAGTGTTGGGTATTTGTCCCAGCAGTGAGAGAACAGTAACAGTAATGTGTGTATAAATGTATGGCTTTGTCCCTGTCCTGTTTCCCAGCTTTTCTCCTTGCCCTCTCCTCGTTGTCCAATCCTCAAGTTCTCACTTTCCTTTTAATTTTGTTATACCTTTGTATTTGTATTTCTTCTTTTGAGTTCTTATACTAGGGAGACTATCCAATATTTACACATGTGGGTCTGGTTTATTTCATTTAGGAGTATATGTTCAAGTGGCATCCACTTCAATATAAAGGCTTTGAGTTTATTATTCTTTATAGCTAAGTAATACTCCATTGTATAAAAATACTATATCTTTTCAACCATTCCTCATGTGACGAGCATCTTGGTTGTTTCCAGGATTTGGCTATCACAAATTATGCTGCTATAAATATAGGTACAAATATATCACCATGATAATGATGTTTTCAGTTTCTCCGGGAAAATTCCCAGTAGGGGTATAGCAGGCTTGAATGGGATTTCCAGTCCTAGTTTCTTAAGGAGTCTCCACACTGATTTCCATAACGGTTGCATCAGCCTACATTCCCACCAGCAGTGGAGAAGGGTTCCCTTTTCCCCACAGCCTCTCCAACACTTGTCAGTTGATTTTTTTATGATAGCCATTCTTTCTGGGGTGAGATGGTATCTCAGTGTTGTTTTAATTTACATTTCATGGATGGCTAGTGATGTGGAGCATTTTTTCATATATTTATTGGCTTCTTTAATTTCATCCTCTGAGAATTGTGTGTTCATCTCAGATGCCCATTTCTGGATTGGGTTTTTAAATTTAGGGGGCCTAGTGTTTTTTAGTTTTTTTTTTTTTTTTAATTTTATTTATTTGTGTGTGTGTGTGTGGCCAGCTCAGCCCACCAGGGGGCGGGGCTGGCTGGCATGTGGTGCTGGGGATTGAACTGCGGTCTCTGTGCTTTAGTTTAGCTTGTTCTAGGTAGGTGCTTTAGACCACTGAGCCATCTCACCAGCCCTTTTAGTTCTTTATAAATTCTAGAGAGCAGACCTTTGTCTGAGTGCTTGTTAGTTAAGATTTTTTTGAAATTTGTGGGTTGTCTTTTCACTTTGTTGGTAATTTCTTTTGACATGCAAAAACTTCTCAAGAAGAGGTGGTCCCAGTTGTTAATTCTTTCAAGTATTACCCGTGCGATTTTTGTTCATGAACTCTTTGCCTTCACCTATTGTCTTCCAGAGTTCCTCCTACTTTCTCTTCCAGGAGACTGAATGTTTCTGTTTTAATGTTTAGATCTTTAATCCATTTTGAATTGAGCTTAGTGGATGGTGATAGACCTGGGTCAAATTTTAGTTTTCCGCATGTAGAGTCAGTTTTTCCAGCACCATTGGTTAGAGAGGTTATCTTTTTTCCAGTAAGCGTATTTGGCCCCTTTGTCAAAGATCAGGTGGCTGAGTGTGTTCATAGAGGCCTCTGCATCTTCTAATCTATTCCTTTGATCCTCAGGTCTATTTTGTTGCCAATACCATGCTGATTTTATCACAGTAACTTTGTAGTATAATTGCTGAAGGCTTTTGTTTGGTGGCTGGGTTATGGGTGTACTATACTGGATCAAGGGTAGGCAATACTGAGTGAGTCCACCGATTAGTTTAGCATGGTTATGGGTATGGCAGAATGGATTTACTGAGGAAAGAAGACCCACTATGGGTGTGAGTGACACTAACAAATGGACTCATAGCCTTGGTGGAATATAAAGGGAAAGGCAGGCTTGCTGCTTGCTGTTTTCTGCCTACCTACAATGCCATGGCCTGTTTCTCCTTTGGCATGTCACTAGCTATAAGCTGAAACAAGATATATATAGATATATAGATAGATATAGATATTGAGGGGAGAGAGAGAGAGAGAGAGAGAGAGAGAGAGAGAGAGAGAGAGAGAGAATTTGGTATAGGGTCTCAGTCTCCCCAGGGCTGGAATTACAAGTGTGCGCCGCCATGCCTGGGTTCAGTGGCCAGCTCAGCGTGCCTGTGGGGTGGGGCTGGTATGGCATGTGGTGCTGAGACGAAACACCAGTCCCTGAGCTTGTCTAAGCACTTAGTCTGCTGCACTGTCTCACTGGCCTTGATTTATATGTTTTTTAAAAAGGCAAAGGTTTTATGTTGTTCTTCAGAGTAAACTTACTATTCCTTCCAACCAGGTTGTCTTTTCATTCTAGAAAAATGTTAAAAATGTAATTATCAAACTTTTTTTTTTTTTACCCAATACCAGAGAATGAAACTTGGAACCTTGAGCTTGCCAAGTAGATACTTATGCTGCTGAGCTATATCCCAACTTTATGCTTTTTCTGGAATTGCTGTTATTTGGATATTAGACTTCAACTGAAATTTTTTTTTTTTTTTTTGGTGGAACCAGGGATTGAACTCAGGCCCTTGTGCTTCCAGGGAAGCGCTTATTCTACTGAGTCATCTCCCCGGCCACTCAACTGAAAAATCTTGCTACATTTTTAATTGCTCTAGCATTGAAAAATTTGTCCAACATTCTTCCAGTTGTTGTTTTTTCATGTCTCCTATAATTTTTGTTTTTGCTATACATTATCTTAAATTAACAGGAACATTTTCTCCAAGATGTCCATGCTTGTACATCTCCTTTGTAGATGTAGTCTTACGTTTCATATCTAAAGATATTAATAATAGATAGTAGAAGTTCTCATTGCCTCCTATGATTTAAGTGCTTGTTTTCTTCTTTTGGTTTGTTTTCTCTCCTAGAGGCTTTCATCAAATTGCTTGTAATTTCAATCTTACATATCCCCCCGAAGGGCCATGATAAAAGGCTGTCCCCAGCTTGTGAGTATTCTGGACATGGGTGGGGGGTGCCCTTAAAGGCGAGGGCGATCTCATGCTCCCCACTCCCTTTTCATTTTCCTGTGTTACCTGGGGTTGAACCCAGGACCTTCGCTCAGGGCTACCTTCCCAATCCTTTATTTTATAGACAAGATCTGGATACTTTGCCAAGTTGCTCAGGCTGGAGTTGAACCTGGGATCCTCTTGCCTGTTTCCAGCAATGCTGGCATTATAGGTATGTGTCACATGTCTTGCTTGAAAGTTTGTCTCGCAGCCTGGAGGTGAGTGTCTTTCCTTCATGTATTCACTATGATGTCCCAGTCCTGCTTGATCTAAAACCAGTGGGGCTAACCACTGTGTATCTGAAACCTTGCAAACTGTGACCTAACACAAACCTTTTTTCTTTGTAAGTTGATTATCTCAGGTGTTTGTTACAGTAAAATAACAGGACATAACACTGATATAAAGTTACTGGTAACACATGATAACTGTGAACTAGATTACAAATTACTCAGTCAATTTTTTAGGTAATTTATGGTACCAATATATTTACATTTTTATTCTTTGGTCTGGTAAGCACTATGAGGAAAGGCATTTAATCTTGTTTCCTGTGTACATGTGTAGAAAGGAACTTGGCCTTGCTCTTTGAATGCTATGCTAGATAGAAGTGTCTTTTACTTGCCAGGTGAGACTTGTGTCAAACTGGATAGTCAAATATAGTAATGCAGGGCCGGGGAGGTAGCTCAATAGAATAAGCGCTTGCCTGGCAAGCACAAGGGCCTGAGTTCAATCCCTGGTTCCACCAAAAACCAAAACAACAACAACAAAAAAACCCCAAAACAAACAAATACAGTAATGCAATTTATGGCTGGGCTTGCCCAGCTCCATATAACTTTAGGTTGAAAGCCAGGTGTGCAACACAACTATAATCCCAGCACTTGGAGGCTAAGGCAGGAGGATTGTTACAAGATTAGTAGCCTGGGCTACAAAGTGAGCTGAAGTTCAGACTGAACTACATAATGAGACTGTCTCAAAAAGACAAAAACAAAAACCCTCTAGGTTGAGGGGACAGACACACATCAGAAAGACTTCTGGTAGCATCTTTGGGTTATGTAGTTTGTCATTTATAGACTGAAGGTAATCTGGTCAGTCATGCCTATGTGATGAAATCCCACCAAAAATTCTGGCTTCTAAGCTTGATTTGAGCTTCCAAGGCTGCCAGGACCCTGTACACTGTCAGTGACATCACTAATGTATTTTGGCACCTTGGGATAGGATAAGTGCTCGTACTTCCAAAGTTTGCTCACTACATCTCTTTCTTTGGCTGACCGTAATGTTAACAATTTTTCTGTAATAGGGGCCAGGGAGATGGCTCAGTAGAATAAGCACTTGCTTAGCAAGTGCAAGGGCCTGAGTTTAATTCCTGGTTTGAAAAAAAAAAAAATCTGTAATAAACTACAATCATGATTATGAAATGTTTTGATGAGATCTGTGTGTAAATCCTAACAAACTATCTGTCCTCTGGGTTGGTTTCAGGAATTACTAGTTTTGAATGTCCTTACCCTGAGCTCCCTGATTTTCACCGTTAGTGTTACTCCTGCTAGATGATAAACCTCCACCTACCAACTGAGGACAGTTACCCAGTGGTGTAGAAAAGGGGAGAAGTCCTAAGTGTTTACTCAGCCTTCCTTAATTTTGTACCTACCTTTCCTCTTGGTCCCAGAGGTAACTGGTGCTGAAGATAAGCACCGGTTCTTAGTTCCTCCAGTGGTTGTTTAGAATTGGGCTGGGAGGGTCAGGGAGATGGCTCAGTGGAATAAGCGCTTCCTGGCAAGTGCAAGGGCCTGAGTTCAATCCCTGGTTCCACAAAAAAAAAAAAAAAAAGAATTGGGCTGGGTTTACTAACTTCATTAATACTCATTTACTGGCTTTTTAATTTCCCAGATTCTGGTTGTGGTCTTGTTTTCTGCATCTTTGTGGTTTTGTGTTTCAGTGTTTGCTGTAATAGCCATCGATATGCATCATTCAGATCGCCCTTCAGAATTATCTAGAGTGGAATGTTGTTGGCTGGAGGCCTCCAACCACTGTCCTTTAGATCCACTTAAGCATGTGTGCCAAGGTCAATCCACCCCTAGGATTTTCCCAGATACCTGCTGAGCAGGGCAGGTCATTTCCCTAAAACTCTAAGCACTGCTCAAAGGAACCTTTGCCAAGGGACTCTCCTGTTGAACTGACCAAGGCTTTGTCTCAGACCTGTGCTTTTTTCTTTGCAGAATCGGGGATTGAACTCAGGCCCTTACACTTGCCAGGAAAGCGCTTATTCCACTGAGCCATCTCCCCAGCCCCTTGTGCTACAGTTTTCTAATGAACCCCCTTCCTCTACTCTTTTCCCAGAGGTAAAAGGTCTCTACTTATGTCTGGTCCTACTCCATTATCACTGTTTTCTCCAAGAAATATTTGCAATACTGATAAAGGATCTACAATCTGAGGTACAGGGTCTCAGGATAAATCCTGAGGGGACTTGACTGACCTTATAAGATACAAAAGCTACAATTCTTGTTACATAGGTCCTGCTTTATCTTGGTCTTAACCATCCAGCACAAAAGTATAAAAATGAAGTACAAGAAATAAAGCCATGGTGTTATGTTGAGCTGTAGGGGATTCAGGTCAACAACTTCCAACACTGCCAGTCAAGTGGAAGACCCAATACTATTATGGACTACTGGACTATTTTGGAATTTTTTTTTAAAATTTTATTTTGGAATATTTTGCTGAGTTTACATACCTATAATATTCAAATGATGGAACTAAACAAAGAAAGGGGATATAGATGAATGACCATTTTGTATCTGTATTCAAAATGGTTAGGATTGATATATAGCTACATTCTCTTAATTCAAAGAATAGAGAGATTTGTTCTAATAGTGTTTGTAAACAGGATATCATGTCTTCATTTTGTACAACAAATAACCACTAGGAAGGCAGTACACAATGTGTTGATTACTGAAACTGTCTCATTGCTATTTCTTAATAAAATTATGGAAAAACAATAAAAAAAATTTGCATGTCTGGTTTTGTTCTGGTACCTGCTTCTTAGAAGGCTTGAACTGTTACCCAAAGGTTTTTTTTTTCCCCCCATTTATGTATTTGGTACAGGGTCTCACTATGCAGCTTGGACTAGTAGTGATCCTTCTGTTTTCAGCCTCCCCAGCACTGGGATTACTGGCATGCACCACCATGCCTGGTCTCAGCATGCCTGGGGATGGGTGGGGCTGATGTGCAAATGGTGCCAGGGATGAAACCCTGGTCTCTGTGTTTGCCTAAGCAGGCGCTTAGTCTGCTGAGCTATCTCATCAACCCTACACCCAAGGTTTTGGAGAAGAGGTTATTAGATGTGTTATCTCATTGTCTTAATTCAGAAATTACTATTAAGTTTTTGGTTCTTCAAAGATTACAAATTTCACAGATCACAGAATGGGGGAATGAATTATTTCCAACACACACCTGACAGTTTGTTTACATGTCTGATTTACTGAAACAAAATATTCCACCAAATTACCTGGGAAAATCCAGGTAGCAGAAATATATAACATGTCTACTGTTTTAAGGGTCTCAAATCAGTCATAAAAGGCTATAGATCAGTATTTTCTTATGCCTTTTAAGTGAGTTCTGCTTGCTGTACTTACGTGGTGCTGAGGTACTAAATTCCCCCAACACGACTGCATAGTATTTAAGGTTAAGTGTGAATATTACATGAGGCCTCAAGTTACTTCATCAATCCTATTTGAACTTTGGGCCAAAGCAGCATAGGAGACTGAAGGACACATCTTCATGTCCATGGATACGAATGTAGAGGAAAACAGACTAAGGAAAATGGTGAGTGAGCCACACGGAGAAGCTGTACTAGCATTCTGCAGTCATTGGCAGTACAGACACAAACACAGTCTTCATGTTCAGAGTCTTCATGGGGATGTCTTCTGTAATTTCTAGAAGGGAAAGAAAAAGTTTTTAAAATCATTAACTATTGAGGATAAATACTTTAAAAATGTTAACCGTAGTTATATATATAATTATGCTAATGAGATCACTCAGAGAGAGGTCAGTTGTGCCATTCAGTATCCCAGTCCTTTTTGGTTTTGAGTTTGAGACAGGGTCTTGTTAAGTTGCCCAAGCTGGCCTGGATCTTCTGATCTTTCTGCCTTAGCCTCCCAAGTAGCTAGATGGCAGGCATTCACTAAAAGTCAGGTTTAAGGGTCCTTCAAGCTGGTATATTGCAACACTAAATGATTTTGATCTTTGTAAGAAGGGTAATTTTAGGATTAATAAATATGCTGTTACCTGGAAGCAGCCAATTTTTAATGTTATTTCCAAGGCAAAAAGTAAGCTAGTTATTATGTTAGCTATGTTTTAGTTGTTTTTTTTTTTTCTTTTCAAAGTTTTATTGATAAACAGCAATGAGACAGTTTCAAATCAAATTGAAAGTACAGTTTCAACAAATAATACACTGCATATATTCTTCTTAGTGGTTAATTGCTGTACAAGATGCAGACTTGTGATCCTA